CTCCTCAAAGCAAAGTTTATTCCAGCAGTGAAGAAGGCAAAGTGTAGTCGGGGGGTGAAGGTGCCCCATGCTCTTTCTTCTCTCCTGTGTATGCTGAAATACAGATTTGCCTTGTCTCGCTCTTGCTGTCTCAAGGACCTGGTTTTCTACTATATATAAATTGCGGCACACACACAATCCTTTGTTTAAGATAGTCCTGATTAGGCAGGAGTGGTTAAATGGGTCTATGTGGGTTTGAACATGTTCTATAAACACTGTACAGGGAGAATTCATAACTTACCTATAATGTTGCCATACACATGTCACTGTGATATTATTGACCAGTGAGTTATTAGTTTTCAAATGATACCTCACAAGGCATACTTTGTACAAAGATTATCACAACAGTGTGTAGGGTGTGAATACAGGGTGCATTTGGTCACAGAGTCCTAGCTTTATTCTCCACTGCCCTGCATCTTGTGTCAAGATTTACACCTGTGCAAAATGGCCAGTTCACATTGGTGGTCATTTACACCTTTTTGAACTTAGTACCAGAATAAATCACTATACAAAATGCAACGCATTGGAGAATAAACCCTTTTGTGTTCTGACTTTTTCTGCATTATTAAATAATAATTTCTAAAAAAAAAAAAAAAAATTTTTGCATGAAGCTTTACAACCACAGTCTGACCTGATGACCCTAACTTTGAAAAGCACTGCACTAGGGTGTGACCCAGTACTGGGTCACAGAATGCAAGGCACTGGTTCGCCTTGCTCAGCACCCAGGGACCCTGGCGGCTGGCCAGAAAAAACTAGTAGTAAAACTAGTAGTCCCTACCCAGAAGCAGCCAGCAGCAGGTCTGGCTCGTAGGCGAGGGGGGGCCCCCACGGGGCTCCACACGCAGGTCCCGCCCCGAGCATCAGGGTTCCCATTCAATGGGAGCTGCGAGTGTGTGCGCGTGCGCCTGCAGGCGAGAGCCACATGGAGCCACTTGCGCACTTTCGCCTAGGAGCTGGACCTGCTGGCCACTTCCAGGGCGCAGAGCGGTCCGCGGCGCCAGGCAGGCGGGAAGCCTGCCTCTGCACCCTGGCTGCGCTGCTGACTGGGAGCCACCAAAGGTAAACTCATGCCCCAACCCCTGCCCTGAGCCCCCCCAAACCCAGAGCCCCTTCCTGCACCCCAACCCCATCATCCCAGGGCCCGCACCCCCAGCCCAGAGCCGTGCCCCCCTCCTATACCCCTGCCCTGAGCCCCCGAAACCCAGAGCCCCTTTCTACACCCAAACTCCTCATCCCCAGCCCCACACCAGGGCCTGCACCCCAGCCCAGAGCTGTGCTCCCCTCCCGTACCCCTGCCCTGAGTCCCCAAAACACTCATCCCCAGCACCATACCAGAGCCTGCACCCCCAGCCCAGAGCCCTATCCCACACCCTGAATCCCTCATTCCCAGCCCCACCCCGCAGCCCTCACTCCCCACATGCCAACCCTCTGCCCCAGGCCCTGAGTCCCCTCCCACACCCCCAACCCCTCATCCCCAGCTCCGCTGGGTCACAGGCATCAGTTTTCTTCAACTGGGTTGCCAGAAAAAAAAGTTTGAAAACCACTGCCCTAGAGGAAGAGTCCATTGCTGTCACACAGGAAAGCTGTTTTCAGTTCCTAAACCCAGCTCCTTGCTGCTTGGTCAGCCGGAACTAGGAGTACAGTGTAGTGTATTCAATTCCTGGTGTATGAAGTGCATCATATTTTACAATAGTCCCTCCGAATAAATAGTGAATATGCAGATTGTACTGAGGAGATTCATTGTTGCATTATTTATTATTAGTGGGAAGGGTGAGTTTATTGCTCTTTATATGGGCAGTCCGCTAAGAGTGTAGTCTCTGAATTTTTGTATAAACCAGTGGAAACCTACCAGAAGCATTTTCAGCTTGAGGAGATGTTGGCATACGTATAGCATCCAAACTGAAACTCAGTGATTCCACCCCAGAGAATAGGCAACACAAGAAGTTGCTGACTGACTGAAGATACAGAGTTCCTCTCCTCAGCGTGCAAGCTAGCACAAAAGAGCCATTTGGAGGGTTGCAGAGAGCATCAAGAGACATGTAGATAGCAGAGAAAAGAAGAGCCTTTTGAATGGGCAGGGACAGAGAGAAACAAGTAGAGGGAAGACAGGGATAAGAAGAAACTTTGGGTAGGAATGAGAGAAGGCACCGGAGGAAAGAAGGGTGGAAGAGAAAATGTAACCAAATGAGAGAAAAAGTAAATATCTCCTTGTTTTGTGCTGGCCTGCACTCTGAGGTAGGTGAGACGGTTGAGTACAACACAACTTTATGGGTAAAGGGCATTGCAGCGGTGCTGGTGAGAGCTGAATTTGGCACTCAGCTCAGTAAACTTTCATTTAAAGTACTCATAGTTCCACATTTGACTTTATTTCTCTCTAGACAACTGGGGATCTAGCTGATCATATGAGTGTTGTCTTGTGAAGAGTGTAGGTGAGACAGCAGTGAAGGTGCTCTGATACATTGTGGAAAAGTAAGCAGTAGAGATGGTTTCACAGCTCTGACACTAATTGGACTGGGGACATGTTATCTGTGTTTATAGAATACAGACTCTTCCAACTCTCAGTGTTGAGAATGAGCACAACTGACATTTAACAAGAAATAATTATTTCCTGTTTGTGAAAAATAACAGCATACACACTATAACAGTGTGTTATTTTCAATAAACATGTGTCAGCAGTATGCTGAGTTGATAGATTGTAGCTCTATCAGTCTCAGCTCCCAGAAAATAAACTTGTCTGTTCTATGGGTAGTACTGTATGTGAATTATTGATCTTGAAAAGTTTTATTAATAGTTAAATTATGGAACCTTTTAGCAGAGTGGCTGGAGATCAGCCAGAGATGCAGTGAAAACATGCTGCCATGTCTCTTGTATCTTCTAATTAGCTGTGGAATTTATACATCCTTTATCTCCCTTCCCTACTCCATTTAGAATTAAGTGATATCTATTGTTCATGCCAGGTAGCCAAGTGAGTCACCTTTCCATGTCTTTCATAGCAGTTCTGCCAGTTTTGTTTATAGTTCAGTGTAGAAACAGATGTTAGGGCATTAAGTACTGGTACTTTTCCTCCCTGCTTCCCCCCTTAAAATATGCTAAACAGCTTCAGGCTCCTCCTCCCCTCTATTTCTTGGGTGAAGGGAGTGTAGCAGATCGCTGACTCACCGCTGTGGCACCTCCTGCTGGTCATCCGGGAATTAGCTCAATTTCATCATTCAGAGCACCTCCTGGTGGCCAGTGTCTCTCCTTCCTCACCCCCCCCACCCCCCATGATTCCCCCCCAACCCAGTGCCCTTTACCTTGGGGTTCTGCCCATAGCAGTACCCCCACAATCTCAGTCTCCCCTCCCAGAGGAACTCCCCTCCCCCTATGCCCACCTTGCCCCAGTGGCTACTGTCACTCATCATCTTGCCCCTTTTTCCTGGGGCAGACTTCAGTCTGTAATGGCCATTCATCACTGGCAAGGGGGTTGGACCAGCTACCTCTGTACCCCAGTACCTCCTTAGACCTTAATCAGGTCTCAGCTGGGGGGGGGGAGGTTTGCCAGGCTGGAACACCCCAGCTCCTCTTGCCCTTCCTCAGCACTGCTCTGCTTCGGGTAACCTGTACTCCCAGGCAGCTAGGTCCTTCCTACTCCAAGGCTGGAGTGAGACTGAGTGAGTGTCTCCCGTAGCCCTTATATCAGGGCAAGCTGTGGCCTGATTGGGTGTGTCCACAGCTGTGGCCGCCTCCGCAATCAGCCTTTTCCCCAGGAGTGGGGTAATTGCCCAGCTACAGGGAGGACCTATGTACTATTTAGCTATATCATTATTATTTATTTGTATTACTGTAGCACTATGGGACCCTACTCATAGACCAGGATCCCAGTATGCTAGGTGTTGTACAAACACAGAACAAAAAGTTGGTTTATTGAGTCTATAATGCAAGTTTTCTAATCTTTTAATCATTCTCTACTAAAGAGTGCCTTCATCTAGAGAGCTAAATTCCTGATATCCATCACCAATTTCATGAAAGGTTCCAGTAGCAATGAAGTCTGATGAAATCTCGAGTTAGCACTGTTTCTTTTAATTAGACAATTCCTGGTTAAATATATAATTATAGAGATCTTATTCACATAGCTTTTAAACTGCATTTTGGAAGAATTATTCAACATTGTAAAAGAACCTCATCCTCCTCCAGGTGAAGACAGTGGGAATAGACTTTAAGGGAAAAGGCGAGAGTTCTAAAAGTAAAGTTTTATGCTTTTTCATTTGTATTGTTTTTTACAGCTGTGTTTGTTCCCATATATAATGTATATATTTAAAATCACATTCTGCTTCCCCAGGGAGTGGAATTTTAGTGATGGTTCTTTTATTAAAATGTGTTTTTTATAAATATCAAAGAAAACTACTAATCATTAAGATTTAGCATAGGCTTAACTAGAATCTATACCTTGACCATTATCCTCTACTACTTCCTCCTTTCAATCTAAAGTCATGTTTCTGCAAACATTCTTGCATATTCTGTTTTGCAATCAGTGTCTTAGTTCAGATGACAGCAGAGTTTGGGAGAAATGGGAAATAATTTCAGTCAGAAGATGATTGAGAGAACGGGGCTCTAATTCCTGTTGAATTTCTGTAGGAATTCTTTCCAACGGAGCCAGTGATATTGGTTGTAGTTAGGGGTGATGATGATAGATTGAATTTTATTATTTATTATTTATTATTTATAGTGTCCAAAGGCTCCAGTCAGATTGAGGTTCCATTCCCCAGGAACTGTACAAACACAAAAAAGAGAATTCCTGCTCTAAAGGATTTACAGTCTAAAAGGGTGTGATCCTTTTGAGAATGACTCCAGTGGTGGCTCTAAATTTTGAATAGTTGAAGTTCAGACTTCTCTATGTTGTGCAATTAAAAAGTTACATCAAAAGGGACCTCTGAGCAGTTTTCTGCTGTCTTACCTAGACTTTCTGTTTTTTTATCTTCTAGACCAGGAATTTGACTGTGGACGGAAATTTTGGAATGTGGTCTCAATGGAAACCCTGCACCCACACTGATGGTACCAGTGTTGGCTCCTGCCTCTGCAGAACTCGCTTGTGTGACAGTCCAGCGCCTCAGTGTGGAGGCTGGCAGTGCGAAGGACCAAGTATGGAGATTGCCAACTGCTCCAGGTACGTCAGACAATCACAAGACCCAAACAGATCCTATAAGATATCTTTTTTTAAAGTATTAAAAATAAAACACATTTTAAGTAATATTTCTTTTAAACCTTATTCACAGCCTTCCTATTCCTTCTTGAATAGGAAACTGCTTATGATGATAGTCACAGTAGCATGGAACATAAGCCTCTCAGACTTCGCTGGGAGAGAGAACTGGCCAAGTGGGAAAAATTAACTTCAGGTTTTGTGAAACTATTTAAGTTGACTACAGTTAACATTAACAACAGAAATATAGGGGGGGAAATCAATGCATTCGGTGACACCCACAATTTAAAGCCCCGGAGTTTAGTAATTTATTGGGGCACAGAGAGACTTTTGCAGGACCAGTAAGCTTTTTTTAAACATTAGTTCTGGCCCAGTTATCAAAAAGAACACATTTTGAGGGCCAAGTCCTGGAAGTCACCACCCTTTAGCACCACCTCCGTTGCACCAGCTCTCAGGATTTGTGAATACTTGCACTAGGTATGGGGAGCAAAAGGAGGATGCTTGTCTCTCTGCTCTGGAGTCTCCGGAGGCAGGTCCACTGTAGCCTGTGCTGATATCATAATATCCTGGTCTGTGGCCCACTAAGTCTGGTCTTGCAGCCACTTTTCCATCCCAGACCACTCACCTGACCCCATAGACAGAATACTAGAGCAGATCATTTTTCAGTCTAAGCTTAGAAACAAAGTGTTTGTTCTGAACAGTCATGGCCAAGTTAGAGGGTGTAGGATTAGCAGACTTGTCCTGACAACTGGTGATAGTGAAGGAAGTGGGGCTAATTTGACCTGGAGCTCATGTTTCAAACATTTTTTGCACCTAACTCTCAAGTTGAAACTTGTTAAATGGCCTGTTCTGTTCATTTCCAGTAGTTTGTTCTTTTATCACTTTCTCTAGTCCATTACTTATGCTACACCAGTAGCAAATACTTGAACTTCCAAATCACCTCATGATATTTTTGCATGAATCAGAACAGTTATTATCCTGCATGTAATGGTAAACAAATAATTATAATAATTATAATAATAATTAATGGAGATATCCCATCTCCTAGAACTGGAAGAGACCTTGAAAGGTCATCGAGTCCAGCCCCCTGTCTTCACTAGCAGGACCAATTCCAGCTGATATAAGATGCAATAATGAATGGGTGTAAATAGATAAGAAAAATCAATATGGTGCTTACAGTTGACTGGAGAGTAGAGAATTGTGAGCAGAGGAGCGGATAAGGATACTATATGAAGCTAAACAATTGAACAAGAGTTATTAGGTGTCTGTTGTTCCCGAAGTATAGACTTTGATGCCCACATTTTTAAAGGTATTGAGAGGTGTTTAGGCATTGCTGCACTCACTTCTGCAATGTCTCACTGATTGAGGAGCCTAAATTTCATTTTAAAAAGAGATTTAGGCACTTAGTCAATTGGATTTTGGCTTAAAATGAGACAGGATCCTAAATCAAATGGGCATTGCAACACTGAGTGCAGCAATGCATAAACACCTTTAAAAATCTGGGCCTGAAGGCTTAGATGGAAATAGAGAAATGCTCGGAGGCTCACCACAGATATTATCATAGTCATTCCCCTGCTAACATTACATCATCTCATTTGCATAACCACTCATACTAATAATTGATTTTCAGAGGTACTGTACTGGGCACCCAAAGCTCCCATTGATTTTAATACATCTGAAAATCATGCCATTGATACTAATCCTTACAGTAATTAACCCTGTTTTTCTGTCCAAAGTCAGTAGCTGTGAACTATGATATTTTTCAGGCAGCCATTTTCTGTAGTGTCAAATTCTGGGTCCATTAAAACAAGGGACGATTCATGCACTGCTCAAATAGCAATAAACCATTAGTAAAAGTTAAAACTGCACTTTTTTGGCCAACTATTAAAATGATCTGACAAGTTAAACATTTTTATCCTCTTGTATTATTGAACCAGTTGAGCTTTTTAATTTTTGAATCATTTCCCAATAGAGTAAGACAATTTGTATTATATTAACCTTAGTATTCTTTTAAAATGTTTATAATGAAATCTCAAGAGCATAACATTGTTGAGTTTGATTTTTGTTGAATTTCTTATCTTTACTAGCAATTTTCTGGTGTGAAAAAACCCGATGGGAACTGCTATAATTCACTGATTTCTTTAGGGTTTAAAATTTCTTTCCAGACATTTGGCATGATACTATTCATATTAAAGTCAATAGGAGTTAGCCACTGACTTTAATGGGAACATGACTGTGCCTTCTAGGGATTTACAAGTATAAGAAATACGTATTGATTCTGTTAGCTCTATCAGCACCTTTTGGTACTCTTACCCATAAGGCATTGTTATTGTATTTGAGGATTTTGTGGAATTGTGAGCTCATGTAATTGTCTCCTCTTGAAATTTGACTTCTCCTGGAACTTGATTTTTTTTTTCTTTTTCTTGTTTTAAATTTTTGTCTTTTTTTTAACAGAAAAGGGAGGGCATGAACTTGAAGTTTTTAATCTTCCTTATCATATAATATCAAGGTTGGAAGGGACCTCAGGAGGTCATCTAGTCCAACCCCCTGCTCAAAGCAGGACCAACTAAATCCCCAAATGGCCCCCTCAAGGACTGAATTCACAACCCTGAGTTTAGCAGACCAATGCTCAAACCACTGAGCTATCCCTCCCCCCCAAATTTAAAGGTCATTGAGTCCAGCCCCCTGCCTTCACTAGCAGGACCAAGTACTGATTTTGCCCCAGATCTCTAAGTGGCCCCCTTAAGGATGGAGCTTACAACCCTGGGTTTAGCAGGCCAATGCTCAAACCACTGAGCTATCCCTCCCCCCCTTCCTTAAAAGACATGATATAAATAATATGGACTCTCTAACCCAGCAGCTCTTAAACTTCATTGCACTGCAGCCCCCTTCTGACAACAAAAATTACTACATGACCCAGGAGAGGGGACCGAAGCCTGAGCCTGCCCCAGCCCCACCACCTGCGATGGGGAGGGGAGGCAAAGCCAAAGCTCAAGGGCTTCAGCCCCAGACAGAAGGCTGGTAACCTGAGCCCTGTTGTCCAGGGCTGGAGCCCTTCGGCCTTGGTCCTGGGCAGTGGAGCTTGAGCTTGGGCTTTGGCCCCGGGCGATGGGGCTCGAGCTTTGGCTTCGGCCCCAGACCCCAACAATTCTAAGGTTAACCCTGGCAACCCCATTAAAATAGGGTTGCGACCCACTTTGGGGTCCCGACCCACAGCTTGAGAACTGCTGCTTTAACCTACTTGAGCAATATGTAATTCAAAATTCTCTCCAAAAGATTGATGTGGGAATTTAAATATTAAATGTATCCAGAATAAATTAACTGAGGAAAATTAAATTCCATTTTCTGTTATTAGTGTTTTGGATTCTGAAATTATACAGGAGAATGTCAGATTGTCTTCCTGCCCTATAATGTGTATTATCAAACAATATATGTAATTTAATTTTATAAAAACTAAAGTAAACATTTGTGATCGTGGCAATGAATTTGGTTAAAAGTTAGAAGCGTGAGGTTTTAAAAAAAATACTTTATTGAGCTTTGAACAGAGTAATACATGTCATTAGCCTAAATAATTATTGGTGTATACATGGATTTGCTCTGATGTGGACTATTAATAAGAACGTTAGCAGAAAAAGGATGCATCACTGTTATTTTTAAAACATATAATACAACTTGGAGAGGTTAAACAAAATATATATGTTAAACCCATATATATGTTAAAAATAACATATATATGTTAAAAATATATATGTTGAACAAGAAGCAATGGGCTTAAACTGCAGCAAGGGAGGTCTAGGTTGGACATTAGGAAAAAGTTCCTAACTGTCAGGGTGGTTAAACACTGGAATAAATTGCCTAGGGAGGTTGTGGAATCTCCATCTCTGGAGATATTTAAGAGTAGGTTAGATAAATGTCTATCAGGGATGGTCTAGACAGTATTTGGTCCTGCCATGCGGGCAGGGGACTGGACTCGATGACCTCTCGAGGTCCCTTCCAGTCCTAGAATCTATGAATCTATGAATAAACCCAATGGGAATAGTAATATTACATAGACCCAGTTTAGGGGAGATTCATCTCTAGAAGTATTTGCGGTGAAATTCCAATATCCTGTGGTCAATTACCAGAATTGTCCAAGGCATAATAACAGCATTTATAGTTTTCTGATGGGTTGATGTGGTTGCTTGTGATGGTCGCGGGAAGCCCAGGGTCTCATTTCTGGTTTATGTCTTATGTTCCTAAAAGCTCATGGCTTCAGAGTTTCAGCCAGTCACCTGCAGGGATCAGGAAGGGTTTGTCCCTCCCCCCATGTATTTTGTTTTGTTCTTTTAATCTCCTTACTTTGAACCACCAGGCATGCCCTCAGTTGGAGATTCAGTGGGGTGGGCAAAGGCTCTGAGGTAGCACTGAGCATTTTCTGTCTCAGGTGCTTGGCTGGCTAGCTCTTGCTTACATGCTGAGGGTCTAACTGATCACCATATGTGCAGTGGGAAGGATTTTTTCCCCAGGTCAGATTGGCAGCAACCTTGAGAGGTTTTTGCCTTCCTCTGCAGTGGGTGGGTCACTTGCCAGGATTATCTGGGTATATCTCACTTAATCATTTCCCTGCTATAATGGAGTCTCGGGCACTGGTGCACCTTGGTTCCTCCCATTTTCGGCCTGTGGCACATAATAGTCTAGTCTCTTGTAGCCTATAATATTTTGTCTGTTTTCAGTTGTGTCAGGTGCTGGATGGTGTTGGAGACTTGTCAGATACAGGAGGTCAGACTAGATGATCTGGTGGTCCCTTCTGGCCTTAAATTCTATGTTTTATACCTTCTTACATAGTCAGATTACAAGGACTTGTATGGATTTTATATTTGTTTGGTCATTGGGCCCATTTTAACAGTAATATATCATATAGACCAGGTCGAAACAATGGCAAAAACAAGTATCTTTTTTCCACCAAGTGTTCTTCTGGAAGTTTAACTTGATGCAGAATTAACTATCTCTGCAGATATTAATGGGCCAAATTCTGTTCTCAGTTACACACATGTAGCTGCTCACTGTATATTATAACAGATGACAGAGCCAAGGCTTCTTATTCTACTAGAAATGGGGGCTGGACTCCATGGACTTCCTGGTCACCCTGCAGTACCACCTGTGGAATTGGTTTTCAAGTCCGCCAGCGTTCGTGCAGCAATCCAACTCCTCGGCACGGGGGCCGTGTGTGTGTGGGACAGAACCGTGAGGAGAGGTGAGGTATCTTCTCCACTGCCTGTTTTAATTTTTTCCATTCAGGTTCATTTTCATGTTACATTTTTCTCTTTTACCTGCTTTCTCTTTCTTTTTTTTTTTTTTAATTTCCACTACAATCTCTTACCACAATTACTATTAACAAGGATATGGACTTCAGCAGTGCATTTCACTTAGCTGAGTTCTTCCCGAACAAGCTGAACTCCCAGCAATGCCGGTCAGCTGACGGAGTGAGGCACTCCTCTCTACTATCCCTTCAGACTCTGAAAATTGATTGTACTGTGTTTGAATTGCAACTTGACCAGACACAAAATCTGTAGTAAAGTGTTGTTAGATCACAGCACTGCATTACTGGTGGACAGTTCAATTTTCATATGTTAAATAAATATATAAAATCTCAATACAGCAAGTGGGAAAGTTTTAAGGGTTTTGTTTGTATCTAATAAATATACACCATACTGGAATAAAATATGTTCTTTAGTAAGTACAGCTGAAATGGTTTGCGTGTATATTAACCTCTCAACAGTTCAAGTCAGCTTTTAACTTGGTCTTTTATTTCACAGTTCGTTGCTTCCCCCAGTACTAGATGTTTTGTCATACCACCTCAAAATATACAGTTTGGTCTTTGATTCCATCACTCACACATCTAAGAGACTCCAATTTATTATCACCTTCCATGAATCCCAACAAAGAAATGAAACATTCATTATATATATATATTTAGACAGACTACTGCATTGAGATGTATTATCTTGTTTCCAGGGGCATCCTGTCAGCTTCAGAAGAAGTAGCAAGCTGCGATACAATCATGTAATAGTGTTTAAAATTCTAAGTACATGAGCCATCAGTTCCAAAAAATGTATAAGGATCTATTTTTTCTTGGATGCACATTTAAAATTTGCATTAGTGTTCCTGTAAGGTACACTCACGGAACCAGGAGAAAACAAGATCACTGAATTTTTTTCACTGAATCTGCATCTTTCCAGTGATGAAGATAATGAGAAAAATTAGATTAACAACTTTACCATTTCTTGTTAACAAGTCATTCCAATGGGCCAATGTTGCACGCCACACTGCTGTTTTCATAGAAATTCTAGGACTCTGCCCATGTAACACAAAATTTAAAGGGCGAGTGTCGTAGAAAATGTGCACACTTCTGGCTGTTTCAGAGCAATGCATATCTACCATTCTCTGGTCAAAAGACCAAGATTTTGATATGCTGTAATATACTCTCAGCAGATAGGTTATCCAAGTAAAAAAATGCCCCCAACAAATATGGAACTTTAACTAAAATCTCATAGCTCTCTCCCAGCCTTAACACCAGTTATAAGTTTTGTTGAGATGACTGGTCAGTATAGTGCAAAAGAGAATCTGAGTGAGTTTATATTCAAAAGGAGTTGAGACTTGAGTAAAATCCGCAGGGTGAGTTTTGGTTAAGTATTGTGTCATTTTTTGTATTATAATTGTAAAATGGATTAAAGGATAAATAGACATTTTAAAGAACAAATATTAACAGGTATATATCACGGGGGCTCAGCATGTCCAGCATGGGCCGCCCTCATTTACGCAGTGCAGGGTTGATACACCTCATCACAGAGTCATCGAGAATCCCTGCTCAGTCAAGCTATCACAATCAGGAACTCAGGACCCATGGGTAGGGCAGAGAAAACAGTCAGTCTGTGGTCCCTGGGCCTTCTGGCTGGGACAATCAATAGCAGTTTGGGGGCCCTAATCCTCTGGGCGGGGCAGAGCAAATAAACAGTGTATATCAAGAGTCCCTGGTAGTCACATCTAGTGGCAAGTACAGGGCAGTGGGAGGGGAACCCGGACCCACCCTACTCCACCGAGTTCTGACCCAGGGCCCCATGAAGCTGGTAAACTTCCTATTAAGGATAGAGGCATCAGCTCATAACATGTTCCCTATTAGACAACTGGTGCCTCCCCTTGTGTCTCCTCCCCCCTTGTTCTCCCTGCCCCTTCCCCAACCCACATTACCTGCATGGGGGAGAGGGGCTCTATCCTCCCACTGCACTGGCTCCCCCTGCCCCCGCACATTCAGCTACTCTCCCTAGAAACCAGGCCCGGGTGGGGAGTGGGATGGAGCCGCTCCCAGTTGCTGCTCTTTGCAGCGTAGCCAGCTTCCTGGGAGAGAGCCTGGCTTGGGAGGGACGGCAGTGGCAGCCCGCTCCCTGCCCAGGCTCGGCTTCCAGGGACAGGGGCCGAGCATACTGCGGGGAGGAGGCTCCAGCTCGTTAGACCGCTGTCCCCAGAAGCCAAGCCCAGGACGGGGGTTAGTCCGCTGCTGCTGCAGCCAGGTGCTCTCCCAGGTAGCGGCTGTGCTGTACCAGGCAGCATCCCAACGTGGCTGGAAGAGGTTCTGGCCTTGCCCCTTCCACTCCCCGCCTGGGAATACTGCTGGGTGGGGAGCACTTGACCCTGCATGCACCCCCAACACATCGCTTCTTCCTACCATAAAGCCCATCTTGGGCATCTCCTTGGCTGGCAGTGTCTTGGCGTTCCCATCAGTTTCCATAGTTGGCTGTTCCTCCACAGCGTCGTCCAGGTCCATGGCCTCAGTAGTCTGGAGAGTCGATGGTTCCTCTCCAGGAGCCTGCAGCACATGTCTTTCCTCCTCCTCAGCCAGTCCCTACTGAGCTGAGTTTTCTCCTTTTATCTGTCCCTTCCACCTAGAGCATACACAGCAGGAGAGAGGGGGCATGGTCTCCTGAGCCCACAATGATTGGTCAACCCCACTGGTCCAGTGTGCGGTCCATAAACTCCGTCACAGTATAGAAAATAAGAAATTATTTCAGTGAATCAGAAATCAAATACTCACTATTGAGACAGTGGGTACCCTAGAAAAGCAAGTTGTAAAAAGGACAATGATATATGGAATAACTTTGGAAAATAAATAATAATAAATCGCAAGGACCAGATGGTGGTATTGAAGAGCTGTGAAGGTTCAAAAGATTGAAATAGTTGAGTTACTTAAAAAAAAGTGTAATATCATTTATAAAGCTGCTTTTCCAGACGACTGAAGTATAACCTCACTTTCATTCCCCAGGACCACCTTGGTACCATAAAAGTAATTGAGGAAATCATTTTAGAGCTATAATGCATCTTAAAGAGGAAAGTATACTAAGGGCAAACCAGTGTTAAGTTTTGTAAAAGTAAAACTGCTTTTCTTGTATCTTTGAATTTGTTGAGCTGGCAAAGGAGTGAATACAGGAGAACCAGTGGATATAATGGGCTGGATTTACCACTGCTTAACTCCAGTACCAAATGAGTTACACCTGTATACAACTGGAGTAATGCATTGTTAAATCAGGCCCATATATTTAGTAGTGCTGAGCCAATAATTCACAACTAACAATTTACTAAGAAAGTGTAACTTCTTTTCCTGCTTCCACAACAACAGCAAGGAGATTGTGATTTCCTCAGGTTTATTCACTGAAATTATTTAACACATTTTCAATGCATTTTTAACTATATTGCTTCATTATGACCAGTTGCATGTCTGAATTCAATATCCAAGATATGTTAGCTAGTTGTAGTTCATCAGATATTTCACACAGTATTGTTTCTGTATCCTGGCTGTACAAATACACACTCACTTCAGCTTCAAATACTTCAAGTACACCAGCAGTAGGAAGGAAGGGAGGAAGGAAATTGTGTCTTGTATGATTTTGTTCAGGCCAGACAAAATCCGTGAAGTAGAATTTGGCTTCTCCCTTTGGATAGCTATCTGCTCTTCTGATTCAGGTTGTTTGCAGCCCACTGAGAAAACCTAACTAGGTTACAATGATTAGAAACACACTTTAGAGGTAAAAGTAATAACATAATCAAAATACTATAGTATTCCTATGCTTGGAATCATGTTTTATCTCTTATTTTACCTATAAAATTAAATACACTGGGACAGTTGAAAAGCAAACTCAGCTATATTTGAACTGGAAAAAGAAAGCTTGGTTCTTCTAGCAAAGCAATGCCAACATAGATGTCTACTTATCTTGTCCATGAACCGAATTCTGCCTTCAGATATGTGTGTGTGTTACTTCTACGAAAGCAGCGATTGACCTAACTACTATGGTGAATAATATGCTACCAGTACAATTAAATAGATTGTAGAAAGAGTTTAGACAATGAAGAAAATGCTACACCCACAGTATTACAAAATACAATTCCATTAATGGTTATACACTATATATAGTTTGACAACTGTTACTTGTGACGGTTCAAAAAAAAAAGCGTCCAACAAATAAATATAAGGCCATCATGGTAAAACATTTTCATATGCAAACATCTTTCTAAATAATGGAAAATGTAGAAGTTGGAAACCTTTTGTTGTACTAAATAGTTTCTTTTCTCTCTTGCTTTCCTTTGTCACAGATACTGCAATGAGCACTTGCTGTGCCCTCCACATATATTTTGGACAGGCTGGGGTCCGTGGGAACGTTGCACTACCCAATGTGGGGGTGGGATTCAGGCTCGTCGCAGGACGTGTGAGAATGGCCCTGACTGCCCTGGCTGTAATGTGGTGAGTAGCTTCTATGTCTTCCCATTAACAAATAATTGCATGCTTTGCAAACATTTTGATTCACGAGTGTGTATTTATAGCTGTATTGTTTTTATTTTACTGAGAGAAATTCATGTTTGCGAGTTAGAGGATGCTGTTATACAACATTAGCTAGATGAGAGACCTCCTAAAGGAAAGTTGTTACAGATGGGGATTTGTCATAGGCATGTTTATTTTGTTTGTTGCAAACTAGGACAAAAATATGCTCACTTTGTTCTAGTCAGAATTCTATAAAAGTAGAAGAGGAATATGGGTCCTCACATATTGGACTAATTTTTAAGTTTCCTAAGTTCAAAGGATAAACTTGATAATTGTGAAGTTTGTCATTCATTGATTGTGGACTTTTTGTTAGACCACCAGCAGGCCTGTTCAAAACATAATAAAGGGTAATTTATAATCTTTTTTGCTTTGTTTTTGTTCATATGTCCTTACTCTGTTACTTTTGACATTTATACCACAAGTGAAATTTCACTTTTGTAAGCAGATTGAACACTTACAAAGGTTTCTTCTCTTTCCTTGATTCAACTTTATGAATTAACCAAGCAGTCTTAAATTCTGCAAAGTCTTTCAAAATATTTTTCTTCCAGTGGTGACAGGCACAAAGGAAGATGTATGACACAGATTGGTGTTTAAATTTCTGTGACTGGTGCAGAGAAGTTAGAATGTAATCTGTATTTTTTCCATATAGATCTTTCTTGATAATCGTGTACTAAGATTATATGATTCATAAGGCTGAGCAGTATTTTGGATTTAAAATAATCTGCTCATGGTCTCAAGTGAAAATTGCATACCCCAGATAGCCTTGGGAAATTCCATGAGTTAGGAAGAATGTTATGAGGTGCTTTGTCAGATTTTAGAATTGACCCAGTAAGATTATTATTATTGGGATTTGCAATCTGATTCCCCCCACCAGCATCATTCTTAAAATGTTGTACAATGATAGCATAGTCTAGTATATTCAAACAGTTCCTTCCCAGTTCAGCTACTGCATGCTTACATTTAGACAGCTCTTTGGTTTAACTGTTTCAGTAAAACTGGTAGTTTTATTTCTAAGAGACTCGCAACCAATCAAATATAGAATCATAAGAACATAAGAATGACCCCACTGGGTCAGACCAAAGGTCCATCTAGCCCAGTATCCTGTCTTCCGACAGTGGCCAGTGCCAGGTGCCCCAGAGGGAATGACCAGAATGGGTAATCATCAAGTGATCCATCCCCTGTCTCTCATTCCCAGCTTCTGGCAAACAGAGGCTAGGGACACCATTCCTGCCCATCCTGGCTAATAGCCATTGATGGACCTATCCTCCATGAACTTATCTAGTTCTTTTTTGAAACCTGTTATGGTCTTGGCCTTCACAACATGCTCTGGCAAGGAGTTCCAAGGTTGACTGTGCATTGTGTGAAGAAATACTTCCTTTTGTTTGCTATAAACCTGCTGCCTATTAATTTCATTTGGTTCTTGTGTTATGAGAAGTAGTAAACAATATTTCCTTATCTACTTTCTCTACACCACTCATGATTTTATAGACCTCAATCATATATCCCCTTAGCCATCTCTTTTCCAAGCTGAAACATGATATTTTCTGTCCTATTTTCTATTCCCTTTTTAATTATTCCCAGCATTCTGTTTGTTTTTTTGACTGCCGCTGCACATTGAGTGGATGTTTTCAGAGAACTATCCAGAATGACTCCAAGATCTCTTTCTTGAGAGGTAGCAGCTAATTTAGACCCCATCATTTTATATGTATAGTTGGGATTATGCTTTCCAATGTGCATTACTGTGCATTTATCAACATTAAATTTCATCTGTCATTTTGTTACCCAGTCACCCAGTTTTGTGAGATCCCCTTGTAACTCTTTGCAGTCTGCTTTGGACTTAACTCTCTTGAGTAGTTTTGTATCATCTGCAAATTTTTTCCACCTCACTGTTTACCCTTTTTTCCAGATCATTTATGAATATGTTGACTAGGACTGGTCCCAGGACAGACCCCTGGGGGACACCTGGGGGACACCACTATTTACTTCTCTCCATTCTGAAAAATAACCAGTTATACCTACCCTTTGTTTCCTATCTTTTAACCAGTTACAAATCCATGAGAGCACCTTCCCTCTTATCCAGTGGCAGCTTACTTTGCGTAAGTGCCTTTGGTGAGGGATCTTGTCAAAGGCTTTCTGAAAATCTAAGTACACTATATCCACTGGATCCCCTGGGTCCACATGCTTGTTGACCCCCTCAAGGAATTCTAGTAGATTGGTGAAGCATGATTTCCCTTTACTAAAACCATGTTGACTCTTCCTGAACAAATTATGTTAATTTATATGTCTGACAATATTGTTCGTTATTATAGTTTCCGCCAGTTTGCCTCACCTCTGGAGCCCTTTTTAAAAATTGGCGGCATATTAGCTATCCTCCAGTCATCTGGTACAGAAGCTGATTTAAATGATAGGTTACAGACTACAGTTAATAGTTCTGCAATTTCATGTTTGATTTACTTCAGAACTCTTGGGTTAATACCATCTGGTCCTGGTGACTTATTGCTGTTTAATTTATCAATTTGTTCCAAAACCTCCTCTAATGATACCTCAACTTGGGACAGTTCCTCAGATCTGTCATCTAAAAATAATGGCTCAGGTTTGGGAATCTCCCTCATATCCTCATCCGTGGAGACCAATGTAAAGAATTCATTTAGTTTTTCTGCAATGGCCCTATCGTCCTTGAGTGCTCCTTTAGCACCTCAATCGTCCAGTGGCCCCACTGGTTATTTGGCAGGCTTCCTGCTTCTGATGTACTTAAAAAAAAATTGCTATTACTTTTTGAGTCTTTGGCTAACTGTTCCTCAAACAGGGCCGGCTCCAGGCACCAACGCAGCAAGCTGGTGTTTGGGGCGGCCAATGGAAAGGGGCATACGGCTCTTCGGCAGCAATTCGGTGGTGGGTCCCTCAGTCCCTCTCGGAGGGAAGGACCTGCCACCGAAGAATGAAGCGGCGGCTGTAGAGCTGCTGCTGAAGTGCCACCGATCGCGGCTTTTTTTTTCCCCCACCGCTTGGGGCGGAAATATCGCTGGAGCCGTCCCTGTCCTCAAATTCTTTCTTGTCCTTCCTAATTGTAGTTTTACATTTCATTTGCCAGTATTTATGCTCCTTTCTATTTTCCTCGCTAGGATTTATCTTCCACTTTTTAAAGGGTGCCTTTTTGCCTTCATAGACATGTAGGGCTGCAAGAGACCCTGAGAGGTCATTTAGTCCAGTCCTCTGCACTGAGGCAGGACAAAATATACGTAGACCATCCCTAACAGGTGTTTGTCTAACCTGTTCTTAAAAAAAACCAATGATGGGGATTCCACAGCCTCCCTTGGAAGCTTATTCCAGAGCTTTATTATTTTTATAATTAGAAAGTTTTTCCTAATATCAAACCTAAATCTCCCTTGCTGCAGATTAAGCCCATTTCTTCTTTTCCTACCGGCAGTGGACATGGAGAACAATTGATCACTGTCCTCTTTATAACAGCCCTTAACATATCTGAAGACTATGATCAGGGCCCCACTCGGTTCTCTTTTCTCAGGATTAAACATGTTCAGTTTTTTTAACCTTCCTCATAAGTCATGTTTCCTAAACCTTTTAAAAACATTTTTGTTGCTCTCCTCTAGACTCCTTCCAATTTATCCATATATTTCTTAAAGTGCAACACCTAGAACTGGAGACTGTACTGCAACTGAGGCCTCACCAGTGCTGAGTAGAGAGGGACAGTTAACCTCCCATGCCTTACATACGACACTCCTATTAATACACCCCAGAATATTAGCCTTTTTTGCAGCTGCATCACATTGTTGACTCCTGTTCAATTCGTGATCCACTATAAACCCCTGATTCTTTTCAGCAGTACTACTGCCTAACCAGTTATTTATTCCCCATTTTATTTGTGTATTTGATTTTTTTCCTTCCTAAGTATAGTGCTTTGCACTTATCTTTATTGTAATTTGTCTTGTTGATTTCATTTGTCCTGCTATGCCAGAAGGACAGGAGACACTGGAGGTGATTTTAATTAGGGTGCAACTTTATTCTTACATATCTGGAAGTACCTGGCAGATAAAATTGTACAGAGCAGGAAATTCCATATACAATTCCATATACTCAGGGGCTGGGGGTGGTACAGCCGCGCTGGAGGAGCTGCCGGTGTGGGGACACCTGGCGGCCTCATGTTCTGCTCCTTTTGCTGCTGCAGTTCCGGAGAGCCCTGTGGTTCAGAAGTCTGTATCTGGCGCAGCTGGAGGACAGAGCCCCCGCTCCTCCAGGTAACGTAGGTTGGGGAGGGGATGGGGAGAGTGTGGGGGCCCCGGGCTGGGGAGCGGAGTGGGGTTGAGTCACATGGGAGGATCACACGCCCCTCCTTTAGCTGGTGCCCCCCCCCTTATGTTTCTCCCATGAGTCGCCTATGTGCAGAGTACCGGTAAGAAATAAATTCTACTTACACCACTGCTACCAACAAAATTATAATGTACTCTCAATAAATTTCCATGTTCTTGGAAGACAAAGAATTTAAGTGTAATGACTAAGTGTTGTTTACTAAGCCTCAATGAGTTTGGAGCTAAAATATAGTAGTCTTGAATCAAAAGTTTCCTTACCATAACAGAGCTCTAAGGGATATGCAGACACACACTAGAACTACTTTATTTGCATATTTGTTGCTAAGAGATCATTGCCTTAATAGGAAAAGACCAATTTAAAGTATTTTTATGACTTGTTTTCATTATTGATTGGATCTAACATTTATGTTCATAAAATATTCTGATGAAAAAGGGTAATCCTATTCAGAACAGAATGCAATGTATCCCACTGAGGGCTTGTCTATATAGTGCATTAGTATGCACCAGCTGAGTGTAAATTCTACTGCATACCAGCTTGTCATTTACTAACTGGCCTGGTAGACCCTGCTGGCATGAACTAAAAGTTTTTTGGTTTTG